GGAAAGTTATTTAAGAATAAGTAAGTACTCCAGAGACAAAGATTGAGGATTAGGCAGCTGGTAATTGCATTTCCATGGCTGTATCTGTATGACTGACAAATGAGTTTTAAAAACCGGTCCACAAATCAAGTAAAGCTCTACTTTAATGGAAAATACGAACTTTAGGAGGGGTTATTGGTTCATGGATTTATGAAGAATTAGAAATCCAAACAAAAATCATTTGTTATTCAATCATTGAATTTAAAATCCTAATTAAAATCATGTGTTATTGGTTATATGATTTATAAATACTAATTAAAATCCTATGTTATTCGTTTAGTCATTTGTTTTTGGATTTGAGAATCCAAATTATGTTTTAAATGGATTTGAATGGAAATGAAAGAGAAAAATAGAAGGATTCAAATCCATGGGTAAACACATGTTATTTCAAAATCCATATATCTTGATTTCATAATTAATAGAGATTTTCAAATCCTATGGATTTACAAATTAATAAACCAATAACAACCTCTTAGCTTATATCATTTCTTAATTTAAAATGAAATCAAATTTGGTGAATTTTTCTTAAAGCATTAAACTTTCCGGAAGGAGAGTGGTGGACCAACTGGTGGTAACGACGGAGAAGAACGAACGAACGAACGAACGAACGCGAGAGAGAGAGAGAGTTTTAATGGATCGGATTCTGAAAGCGGCTCGAACGTCTGGTTCGCTGAATCTTTCCAATCGCTCTCTCAAGTATGATCCATTTTTTAGTCTTCTTAAATTTCATCCCCCTATTCCCTTCTTTCGATTGAATTGAATTTCAGATTTTTGTGGGATTAGATTGTTTTAGTTTTTCGAATTGTGTAAGAATGTGAATATCTATCATCTTTTGATCGAGACTCAGCCAAGTTTTCGTCTTTTCTAAATTATTATTGAACGTTCGATGTTAGATCCTATTGCTTGGTCACGAGATCTCATTGTATATGAGAGATGCAAAGTCTTTGTTTTATACATATTGATTTGAGATTCAATTTTCAGGGATGTACCTATTGAGGTATATCAATGTTTGGAAACGACCGGAGAAGGAGAAAACTGGTGGGAGGTGATCCAAATTTTCCATCTTTTCAATCCTTTTCTAATGCATTTTCCTGTGATCAAGTTGTTTCCTGAATGGATTAATTTCCCCATCTGGCAGGCTGTTGATTTGCAGAAGTTGATCTTGGCTCATAATGACATTGCGGTTTTAAGAGAAGATCTGAAGAACCTTGCCTGTTTGGTTGTGCTAAATGTCAGTCACAATAATCTCTCTCAACTTCCAGCAGCTATTGGGGAGTAAGTATCTGGATCTTTTTACTTGGGTTCCACTCTGTTCAGCTTGGTGATGTTCAAATGTGTTTGTTCTCTTAACCCATTTGTAGGCTTACTGCGATGAAGTCTTTGGATGTGTCTTTTAACTCTATAACAGAACTTCCTGAACAAATTGGTTCAGCAATTTCTCTTGTCAAGTAGGTTATCTCCATCCTGTCATAAACTTCTGTGGTTTGACTTAGATTAGGGCATTGGACTCATTGAACCCACACAGTTCATAATTGATTAAACTCCTTTTTATCGCTTCAGGCTTGACTGTTCAAGCAATCGGTTTAAAGAATTGCCAGAATCTATTGGGAGATGTTTAGACTTATCCGATTTGAAGGTTGTTCTATGTTAAGGAAGTTCAGTTGATTTTTGTTTACTTCTTCTTTCATGGAAATGATTGTGCTTATTGTTATCCACAGGCCTCAAATAATCAAATTTCCAGTTTGCCAGAAGACATGGTGAACTGTTCGAAATTATCTAAACTGGATGTGGAGGTATTAGTGTCGATTTCCTCCTAAAGTCTAAAGTGGCTACTTAGCATTTTGCTTTTTTTCTTCTTTCACTATCTTCCAAGTCCAGCATGGCCGGCCTGGAAGAAAGCAATGGTAGGGTATAGCAAGATGATTTACCTGTGTAAACCTATTGCAGGGAAACAGGCTCACAGCTCTCTCTGAGAACCACATAGCATCATGGACCATGCTTACAGAACTTAATGCATGTAATGATATTCAACTTTTCTTTTGCGTTTCTTACATGTTGAAAGACTCCGGGACACACTTTAATATCTTTTAACTCTGCAGCGAAGAATATGCTGAGTGGTCTGCCACAAAATATCGGAAGCCTTTCGCGTCTTATTAGGCTTGACCTTCATCAGAACAGTAAGTGTAGACTGAGAAGATAATGTTTCTGCGATACCTTTTGCTCCAGTAATAGCCAACTTGATTCTCGTATGTAGTTGCTGAAATTGTTTTCGTATTTGATTCACGCAGAAATCTTGTCTGTTCCACCATCAATAGGCGATTGCTCCTCTCTTGTGGAGTTCTATTTGGGGTCATTTTCTACTACGGTTTATTCAAAAAGATTTTTTTGGAATTACATGGAATCACTTCTGACATTCTTCTTTCTGTACTTAATTCCAGAATTAACTCGCTATCAACATTACCAGCCGAGATTGGAGATCTATCACGTCTAGGAACATTGGATCTTCGTTCTAATCAAGTATTGTGCTAATTTCTTTGATGGATATTATTTTCTGACACTCTTTTGTTTTATTAAACCTTTATCTAGTGACAGTCACTTGCTTTTAATCAATGGTCTACACACTTGTGCTTTCTCCCAATTTTCAGCTCAAGGAATATCCAGTTGGGGCATGTAAATTGAAGCTCTCGTACCTAGATCTTTCAAATAATTCCTTGACAGGATTGCATCCTGAGCTCGGTATGATTAGCAAACATCACTAACCATTTCTGCATACCCTGCTTGCTAATAAATTTACATATGGCATCATAAGAATAGCTATTAGCATAAAACTTCTTTTCCTCACATTTATAGGAAACATGACTACTCTGAGAAAGCTTGTGCTTGTTGGCAATCCTTTGAGAACTCTTAGAAGGTTTCGTTTTACTCTGTCTCTGTCTGGTTTCTTGATTGCCTGGTCTTAATTTGATTGCTACTTGAAGAGGCCAATAATTCTTTCTTTTTTGTTTGCTCTCCAGCTCATTAGTAAATGGTCCTACAGCTGCTCTATTGAAGTATCTTAGGAGCCGCCTTTCTAATAGTGAAGGTACTTTGGTCCAACATCCCTCTTTGTCTCTCATCTAAGTGGTCATTTCTAACTGTAAAAGGTTTGCAATTATAGAAACAAGTGCAAGCACTCCAACAAAGGAAAATGTGATTGCTTCAGCAGCTCGTATGTCCATTTCTTCAAAGGTAAGTGAAACCACAGATCTGAGCACCATCCTGTTAAGAATTCCATGTTCTTGATAGAAACTAGAAATTATTGTCTTAACTGATTGCACAAAACTCAGGAACTTTCTCTGGAAGGTCTCAACTTGAGTGCTGTCCCTTCAGAAGTTTGGGAATCTGGTGAGATCACGAAAGTTAATCTTTCTAAGAACTCTATCGAGGAATTGCCTGCTCAACTTTCTACATCTGTTTCCCTTCAGGTTATGGCTTTCCCATAAATCTTCTTTCTAGTTTCTACATATAAAGAAGATGCTACATTTGCCTTTGCTACATAAAATCTATCAATTACTGTCAGAAATTTCATAGTATCTTTGTAATTGCAGACTTTAATTTTGTCAAGGAACAAGATTAAAGATTGGCCTGGTGCAATCTTGAAGTCACTTCCCAATCTTGTGTGCTTGAAGTTGGATAATAATCCCCTGACGCAGGTATAGTGATGTTCAAAGAGAATAATATTTAAATATTTGATTATAGCTTCCACCAAGAGCTAATGCATCACATTTTTTATTTGCTCATAAGATTCCACTGGATGGGTTTCAAGCAGTCTCTGGGCTTCGGATTCTAGACCTAAGTGGTAATGCAGTTTCCTTCAGAGAGCATCCTAAGTTTTGCCACTTGCCACAACTGCAAGAGCTTTATTTGAGGTTGGTTATGATACTTTATATTATTCTTTGTCCATCTATTATTCACTGGTTTAAGACACGTTATACCTTATACCTCACTTGACAGTCGAATCCAGCTATCTGAAGTCCCTGAAGATATTCTCAACTTATCTAACCTGATTATCCTTGACTTGAACCAGAATTCACTTCAATCGATTCCGAAGGTAATATAGCTATATGCTCTACTTTGTGGTATTTACTCTGCTGAATCTGTGGTTCGAAATTAGTGTAACCTGGCATCAATCAGCTATTCAACCAAAGTCGTCATGTAATGTTATTGCATTGGATCTGTTTTTCCCATGCAGAGTATCAAGAACATGACTTCACTCAAACATCTGGACATATCCAACAACAACATTTCGAGTCTTCCTCCAGAACTGGTAAGTCTCTGTTGCTTTTCTTAACTGAAACATAGAAATGTATAATATATGTAATAACAAGTCCTGTGTTGTTCCTTAGGGTTTGCTTGAGCCTACACTTGAGGTTCTACGACTTGACGGGAACCCATTAAGAAGGTATTTAAAAAACTGATACATTAATATATAAACAATAACATTCCAGATTGATTGATTTTTCATTTTCACCAACATTCGTTAAACAGCATCAGGAGGCCAATTCTAGAAAGAGGAACGAAAGCTGTGTTGAACTACCTGAAAGACAGACTTCCAGATCAGTAGCTTTTACAACATTAACTTCAAGACCTATGTTGTTGTTTGTAACATTTTTGTGTGTGGTTTATCAAAAAAAAAAAAATTGTGGAACAACAACAGATTGATTTTTTTTGATGAGAAATGCTGGTGTCCTTGTTGTGTTACTTTTGTTGGTGTGTAATCCAGTACGTCTTGTTGTGTGATATGTACTACAAACTCCAAAGGCTTCAACAGGAGAATTGTTTTGTTACAAATTGTTTTCTTTTTTTGTTTCTCCATTTTTCATTGTCGAATGCTAACTTAAACTTTAAGAATCTTGTGAAGTTTGGCAATAACTTATTGCCAATAAGCAAGTCCAAACAATACCTAAAAAAAGAGAGTTGAAGATAGTAGAAAGAGACGAGGAACTTGTGACTTGAACAAGGGAAAAACTTTTACAAAGTGTTTGTTTTTATTTCTCCATCATCATTTTCTAATGCTGCTAATCTAAACTTAAGAATCTTGTGGAGTTTTGCAACAGGTTCAACTATCTTCTTCTTGTTTTCACTTGCTGAAACTTCTTCTGCAAAAAAGAATTAAAAAAATTGAAGAAACCGCAACTCAATATTCAGAACTAGTTGAAACAATGTTCAAATAAGATGTTGTTTCCATGTCTATGAGAAAGTGAAACTAACCCTTTTCAGAGAAAGCAAGGCATGTACCAATTGTTTCAATATATTCTCCAACCTGAGAGATCATCAAATCTAACACGATTAAAAGAATGGTTTAAACAAAAGAGTAACTTTAACAACTGCAACTGATAATTACCAGCTTGATTTTGCCATCAATGGTCAACACCGGATTCATTGTATCCAAACCCTGAGGATAATAAACAATCTCAAAACAAAACCAATGCAAAGAGTTCAAATTAAAGAATTTGGATTTGAACTAACTGATAAAGTATAAGGAGCATCTGATGGAATCTCAATGTGCCTTGAAACTTCATCAAGATCAATCATAACATATTCCTCCTCCATCTCTCTTGCTCGCTCTCCTGTATCAATTTCTTTATTAGAAACAACTAGAAATCTAGCGAAACTGTATGAATCCAAAAACTTTCTCTCTTCCTTCACTTTCTGAACACGATTAGCTTCAAGAAATTATAATTCTTCACAACAAATTTATGTTTAGAATGACTTACCTCTTTAGTTTTTCCCTTGAATCTTTCGAGCAAATACGAGAACCCTTAAGTCATGGAATTGAAAAACAAGCCTGATTAAGAGTAAAAGGAAGATGAAGATTCGTCCAATTTCGCATCAATCAGTTCTCTGTTTCTTCTTCTTCTTCTTTGTCTTGTGTAAAAATTGCTCTGTTACGAGAGACTATATAATTTTTGGGCCCATTATTATAACCTAAAGCCCAAACGATGGAGGCCCGATTATTTGCGTGAGTGTGTAAGCTTCTCATGTCCACGTGTCAAATCTCCGACCAAAAAATTAAACCGGAGAATTTCGTGAAACCGGAGAACAATTAAAACTTGATTTGGTAAAATAGAATAAAGAAAAAGTTAATAGTAAAAAACTAAAATAATTTACCAATAAAAGGAAGTGGTGAAGCAGAACAAAACAGAGTGTGTCAAGAGACGACGACTAAGCAAGCCTCAAAAGGCAAACAGAGAGGAAGAATCGCCACGAAAGAAGCTTAAGAAGCAAGAGATTGAATTTTCCCTTCATTTTTCTATTCGTTCTCACACGTCTTTCACCATTTTCTATTATAAAAATGCTCTTTTTAGACTTTTTGGTTTCATTTGTTTAGTGGGCACCGAAAAAGTCAAGACCTTTTGCTTTCCAGGTAAGGATCTATCACCAGTAACCTCTTTTCTTCTTCTTCTCCTCACGATTTCTCCTCAATTGTACTGTTTTCAATCGAAATTTTTCTCCTTTTTGGGTGATTTGTTTAGCTGATTGATTGTGGATTGCAGGTAAATTTCGAAGAATCTGGCGTGTTCAGGTGGATTGATTCTTGCGATCTGACCCTTCTCATGATTAGTTTTCGATCTTCGAATAGACCAACTGCGAGATTCTCATCTATAACTCCGTTTTCCTATTCAATTTCTTATCTCTTTCTACCATCCAACGTCTTCTTCATACGCTACTTCAATTGCTCTAGATTTCGCCTCAAAATCTGACCCTCTTGTAGCTTGAAGCCACCCAAAGTCTCGTCTTTTACGTGTTCGATTAGGTCATTTTGAAACTCTGTTCTTAGAATTAGGAAGGAATAAAATGGCTGACCGAAACTGGTTGATTTCGTTCGAGGATCTTCCTTCTCATTTGATCTTGGAGGTGTTGACCTCTGGGAAGCTTAGTGCGGTTGATCTACTTAGCTTGGAATTGACCTCTAAGGTTTTCGGAGGGAGCCATGGATTCTACCCTTTAAAATTCAGATCACTAGCTGATTATGCGGCGTCTCAGCTTTGCTCTATGCATCCTGTCTATGTGGGAATGGGTTTGACTACACAGAAAGAGCTCTTTGCCAATTGTGAGGGAAACTGGAAGCGGCTTTTGAGTTTCTTACAGTCAGTTGAGCAATCCTCAGATATGGTTGAAACCTCTCAAGGCAAAGTATGATTTCATTTGCTTTCTGTCATTGCTTCTATCAGTGAATCCTTCATTTCATATAGTTTTAGGTAGTTCAGTGAAGTTGCTATGAAGAAAGTCTTAGGAATATAGCTCAAAATGCTATGTTCATTCTTGGTTAATTTGGTTTAGAAGTCTCAAATGCATTTCTTTCATTCTTTCTGCAGATGCAAATTGCAACAGGAAAGTATCACACTTTGCTAATCAACAACTCAAAGGTTTATTCTTGTGGTGTAAGTTTGTCCGGTGTTCTTGCTCATGGCCCTGAAACTACTCAATGCGTAGCATTTACGCCTATAGAGTTTCCGTTCCCTGCACAAGTGGCTCAAGTCTCAGCCACACAGAACCATTCTGCTTTCGTATTGCAATCTGGAGAGGTTGGTAGCTGTTTTACTTAATACCTATCCTATGAGTATATTGTCGCTTGCCATAATCACTTACCAACAACTCATTTTTAAAATGTGGCGCAGGTTCTCACTTGTGGGGATAATTCATCGCATTGCTGTGGTCATTTAGATACTAGCCGTCCAATATTTAGGCCTAAGCTTGTTGAGGTTTTGAAGGGGACTCCTTGTAAGCAGGTAAAATTGATACCAACCCTATCTAGACCAATTGATTTCCTAAATTGGTTCTAACGAACATTTATAAACTCATCTTCTATACCAGGTGGCTGCTGGGCTTCACTTCACTGTGTTTCTATCAAGAGAAGGGCATGCGTATACTTGTGGATCAAATACACATGGGCAGCTTGGTCATGGCGATACTATGGACAGACCAGCACCCAAAGTTGTTGAGTTTCTTAAAAACATTGGCCCTGTGGTGCAAATCGCAGCTGGACCCAGCTATGTTTTAGCTGTAACACAGGATGGCTCGGTTTACTCGTTTGGCTCTGGTTCTAACTTCTGTCTTGGTCATGGAGAGCAACAGGACGAGCTCCAGCCGCGTGTTATTCAGGCTTTTAAAAGAAAAGGTATTCATATACTCCGTGTCTCTGCTGGCGATGAACATGCCGTGGCACTTGATTCCAATGGCCGTGTAAGTTCTTTGTTTCTATATCGTTCTGTCTCCATTTGGTCTCAGAAATCAAAAGAAATCTTGTTTTAATTATTCTTTCTGAAACTTAGGTCTACACATGGGGTAAAGGTTACTGCGGTGCTCTAGGCCATGGAGACGAAAATGACAAGATCACTCCTCAAGTTTTGGTCAATCTCAAGAATTGCCTAGCTGTCCAGGTCAGATTTTTCCCCCATATGTTTCATCTCAATGTCTGAGATAATGATCCCTTTATACCCTTTTCCTGTATTCTCTAAGATCTTGAGCGGTCTCTAATAAGTAAGGGATCACTTCAAGTAGAATCAAAATTTGGGTCGGGATCTGTTTAGAGCAAAACATATTTTAGTTTCGATGATTTTCAATATATATCGAGGTTACATACAGTTTACTTTTCGGTTTTGGAAAAGAAAAATGAAGCTGAATGTGTTTGCTTTTGTATGTATGGAGTTATTGACTTGTTTAGGATCAGTTAAAACCGGATTTAGATAGCCCTATTCATGCATGACTCTACTTTTGTTTGCAGGTGTGTGCAAGAAAAAGGAAGACTTTTGTTTTGGTGGAAGGTGGATTATTGTATGGATTTGGGTGGATGGGGTTTGGAAGCCTTGGGTTCCCGGACAGAGGAGTTTCAGACAAAGTTCTGAGGCCAAGAGTATTGGAGTGTCTGAAACCACACCGTGTCTCTCAAGTTAGCACTGGTTTGTATCACACCATTGTGGTCACTCAAGGTGGTCGGATTTTTGGATTTGGAGATAACGAAAGAGCTCAGCTTGGTCACAACTCACTCCGCGGGTGCTTAGAACCAACCGAAATCTTTCTCCATTGTGGCCGTTCTCGTAGCCGGCTTTGTTGATCCAAGGTATAGATAAACAACCCTGTTTGTATGAACCTGATTGAGATTGGATTTACCGGTTAGTGTATTTTGTATTGATTTGTATCTGTTTGATTTTTCAAGTTGTGCGAGTAATAGAAGATATTTCCGGATCACTTTACCGCAGAGAATCATGACATGAGTTAGTTAATCTAAGAAGTTTTACAACTTCAACTGCATAATAACAAAAACCTTAACTCTTGGTGATAGATAACACTCAAAATTTTGCAAAATAACCTAAGTCTTTCGAACATTATAGAATGTAAAAGTAAAAAAAAGAAAACTGAAAACAACCAAGAAGCAAAATAATAAATCATTGTAACGATCTACTTTCAAGTTCTTTAAACACTGAAACTAATACCCTTCAACATCGATTTCATCTTCAGGAAACGTGTGTGCAACAACTTCGATCTTTACTTTGATCTTCTCCAATTTCTCCAGAGGTGAATTCAATATGCATTCGATTTCTTCAGCAAATGTTTTCATGATCCCTCGATAAGGAGGAACACCAATTTCATAGAGAATTTCGTAGATTGTGGCTTTTATTCGTTCCACATCTTGACCAATGAACTCGTCTCGACCATATCTTTGAAGTTGATTTGTAGTCCTTGTTTTAACCTTATTGGACATGTAGTCAGCTTCTCCATCACTATTTGGCTCAGGCACTTTTGTGTAGACAACTTCAAAATCAAACAAAAAAGTTTGACGATCTTGAGTTGTTTCTCTCGAATAGTAGATTGGTGTCACCATACATGTGCTATCTGATATATCATCCACAATATACTCCATAATCTCTATGTAGGGAAAAAAAGTTACGAGAGAAATAGGTTTCTGAAGCTATGAGTCATGAGTGGATCAAAAATATTTAGGTCTGAATTGTTTAAAAGGAATGAGTAATTGTTGGGATTGAATGCGAGATTTGAGGATATAGTTACAATAGGAATTCTTCATTAAATTTAGATTGATCATAAACATATACTAGTAATAAGTAAAGAAAAAATACTAATTACCAAAAGTTAAAAATATCTTCGAAGTTACTACATTCATGCACCATAAAATATCGTGATATCCAAAATATCTCATATGATTCTAATCATACGACTTTCTCATTGGCTGTCAAAAATATCCTATCACTTTTCCAACTTGACAAAAAAAAAAAATCATACTTTTTTAACGTGGCACATAATATCCAAATCCGAAGAACCGAATCGAATCCGACCTGAAAAATTCGATCCGAAGCCGAATCCAAAATTTTAAAATATCCGAAAGGATTATAAACTTCACTACCCGAAAACCCGAATCCGAATCCGATCCGAACCTGAACCCGAACATATCCGAAATATAAATACATAAATATAATATATTAGTAATATTTATACTTGTAATAATCTAAGTGTTTAAATTATTCGGATGTTAAGATATTTTCGGGTGTTTTAACTACTTTTAGTTAGATTCATGTATATAATACTTAAAATTTATAAAAATTTTGAGTATTTTCAATACTTTTGCATAGAATCGGATACAAATTTTTTTAATATTTAGATATTTCAAGTAAACCCGAATCCGAACCCGAAATACCCGATCCGAATCCGATCCAAATCCGAAGTTTTAAAATACCCGAATGAATCTTAGTTTTCTAAACCCGAAAAATCTGAATCTAAAAAATCCGACCCGAATCTAACCCGAATATCATAACGTCCAGACCTAGTGGCACGTTAAAAAATCAGATCAGTCCAAAGAATCGTCATATTAAATATCTAATCATCATTGGATTCACAATTTGTTTATTTATCTACCAGATTTTAAAAAAAAAAAGATAAAACTATGGGTAGAATTCTTACAGAAAGAAACGGATAAGAACACGTCAGACATGTCAGTCTTATCTTAAAAACCAAGTCAGCATCCCGTGTAATAATAATCTCGCACCTATAAATAAACCTTCCATTTCCTTCAACAAAAACATAACATTCATTTCATACATTTGATTATTCAAAGAAAGAAAGAAAGAAGAAAATGTTGGCAATATTTCAGAAAACTTTTGCTCACCCACCGGAAGAACTCAACAGTCCGGCGTCTCATGTTTCCGGCGAAACCCCTAAACTTCCCGGAGAAACTCTCTCCGACTTCCTCTCTCGTCACCAAAACACCGCTTTCTCCATGAACTTCGGCGATTCCGCCGTCTTAGCTTACGCTCGCCAAGAAACCTCTCTCCGTCAGAGGTATATATAAAAACCACAAATCAAATCTCTAAATCCAACTTATTGATTCACAGATTCATAAATCTAATGGTTTTGTTTTTTCTCAGGTTGTTCTGTGGACTAGATGGGATCTACTGTATGTTTCTAGGGAGATTGAGCAACCTCTGTACATTGAATCGACAATACGGTTTATCTGGGCAGAACTCAAACGAGGCAATGTTTGTGATCGAAGCTTATCGAACACTTCGTGATCGTGGTCCTTATCCAGCTGATCAAGTCCTCAGAGGTCTTGAGGGAAGCTTCGCTTTCGTTGTGTACGATTCTCAAAGCTCCTCTGTTTTCTCAGCTTTGAGTTCTGATGGAGGAGAGAGTCTTTACTGGGGAATTTCTGGAGATGGATCTGTTGTAATGTCTGATGATATTCAGATCATAAAGCAAGGCTGTGCTAAATCATTTGCTCCTTTCCCTACTGGTAAAGCAAAACTTAAGATTTTCATAATTTAAAGAAAGAAAGAAACTTTTGAGTTTGAGATCTTGATGGTGTGTGTTTTTTTTTTATTTTGCAGGGTGTATGTTTCATAGTGAGAAAGGGCTAAAGAGCTTTGAACATCCGACTAATAAGATGAAGGCAATGGCGAGGATTGATAGTGAAGGTGTTCTTTGTGGAGCTAATTTCAAAGTTGATGCTTGTTCTAAGATCATTAGTATCCCTAGAAGAGGAAGTGAAGCTAACTGGGCGCTGGCTAATTCTCGTTAATTTTGCTTCGAGTTTCGTAACTCTTGCTTCTTGTTGCGTTTTCTTTTTTATGTACTCTCTTGTTTTTGTAAATACTAAATAGCCTTATGACGATGATAAAGAAATAAAATTGCTTTGCTTTGCATCTTTACTTAGAGAACTGTGTTAATTTGCAAGAAAAGAATCTCACTTTTCGATAGAAAGAGAGAGAGAAGAAAACAGTAAAGACAAAATTGTGTTGTGAATTTAGAAGTTTACAACAGCAAAAAAAAAAAAAAAAAAAAAACACTTTGGTCGAATTTTATCATTCATCCTTCCACATGTCTGTAAATTCACCAGGCTCCAATGGGTTTGAGAGTTCATGCATCTTTCTTCTTGTTTTCGCCTTGATTTTCTTAGCAAATTTCCCGGCTTTATTTCTTTTCTCCAAAGCTCGAATCTAAAAGGCAACGAAATTGAAAAAATGAGAACTTTGACAGAGAATCATATAGCAGCAATGTGGTCTCATCAAGTTGCATATAGAAGAAGAACCCAGTACCTGGTTTGGAGAAACGTAGAATGGGTTCTCATAAAGCGTTGGACCTCCAAAGCTGCCTCCAAATATCTTAATTGGATTTAAACAAAACCTTGGACCAACCTGTCATCAGGTTTTTACTTCAGTCAACAACTATTTCATAATAATTATGCAAATTAGTGTTAGAATATAGTCATGGCCTGACCTCAATAAGAGTCATTTTATCCAGATCGCCTCGTGCAATCTTGTCTGACTCGTTATGAGGTACCGATATCTGCAACGAAAGAAAAAACAAACCTTGGCTAGTAAAACCAAAAGTTTCCAAACTGAAATGAAATGAGAGCAGGTGATCTCTGAGAGATGCTAAATTTTCAACCAACCTGGTAATTACGGAACCATATATGGTCATCAACAATGGAGAAAACAAACACATGATCATGGTAAGGTTTAGACTTCCTATGTCCCTCGGGAATTCCAAAAATCTAGAAGCAAAATACAAAACTCATTATAATGTTAAAACTTTCAAGATATAAACCAAACTAACAGGGACAACAAAAGACATGTCCACAATTCAAAAGTGAGAATGACCTGAGTTAACATCTCTTTAAGAAGTTTCCAGTGTGCATCTTTTTCAAAATTGGATGAGAATGTCAGAAGTGGGCGTGAACCTTTCAGATGATTTCCAGTGAGTTTCAGCTCCTCCATTGTGTGAACTTCACCATACAGAAACACAACTCAGAGACGATACAAATTGATAAACTCATCATTACCCAACATATGATTAGATCCACCAGCTTTTGTCACTTATTTTGAAACCCAAATAAGAGAAGCTGGAGACATTACCAGCATTAACCAAGAACTTAACGGAAGGTCCACCAGGGGACTTGACCATCCACATGTAAAGATCTTTGTGCTTCCTACACTGAAGACGAAAACAAACAAACACGTACTAACTTCAGTTTCTTGGAAGAAATCAAGAAGATAATTTTGCAGTTTAATACTCCACAGATTGCACAGTGACAAGTAAATCCAGACATGATGACATTAAAACAGAGAGACTAAAGAGCCCATTTTGAACCAGACAAAAAGAATCCAATCAGTTATGCTCTTTGTTCCTATCATCAATGGTATGAAACTTTTACCAAGTTACATATCATACTAAACTTTTTAGGAGAACTGATAAGAATTTGAGTAAAAAACCCTTAAGACTAAGAAGATCAGACCATAGAACATTAACTGGTTCTGCAATTAAGGTAGGCAAAAAAGATTGAAACTTTACCTCGAAAAACAAACAGGAAGAAGAGCCCTTGAGCTCGATGAGCTCATTAAGAGTGGCACCTCTACTGCTCTTAGCTTCCACCTTACTATCCTTCTTACAGTGAGGTAGAAGTGACACCATGTTCAACATCAAATGCCGATACCTTCCAACGAATAAACAATGTTACTCAATGATTCATAACCATTAAACCAAATCAAACCCAATATAAATTTCAACACGATTCACCTGAAACTGATTCGACGGGAACAAGTAACGAGAACCTTCTCTTTATTCCTGAATACAGACGCAGGTTTAGAGTCCTCAGCATCTTCGTTCTTATCTTTCCAACCCAAAAGAGTCCTTTTAGGTCTCTCCGGAGCAGAATCGTCCTTCTTCACCGGTGCCGCCGCAACAGTCTCGCTGTGCTTTCTCTTCCTGCCCATTTTTTGGTCTGTTGAAGAAGAAACAACGCTAAATTCTCTGTTTTTAGGGTTTTAGTACCAAACTCAACAACCTAAAGAGACAAGCTGCTTTAACTAAATTTCACAACGAAAACGACAACGTTTCGTAGTTTTATAAAATAAAAACATAAATGGGCCGTGTCAAGCTTACATGGGCCTTAATAAAAAGCAAAAGAAACTATATTGACTAGAAGAGATGCAAAAGAATTTTCCTTTTTTTTTTTTTTCTCTCTCTTTGTATCCAAATCAATAAACATATCTCTCTGTTCGTGTCTATAACTCTACAATGATCAGTATAGTTTCTTTCTCTCTTTTTTTTCTCTCCATTTTCCTGGAAACGAATCTGTAACAAAGAAGAATAGGAAAAAAAAAAAAAAAAAAAAGCTCGCTAACAATCATACAAACCTCACTCGATTTTTCTTCACTCTGTACACTTTTTATCAAATCCGAATGGGCAAACCAAAGTTCTGAAACGTTCGTATCTCTCCTCTCAGACCTGCAGTGACAATCACCATTCCCCAAGAAGCTGATACATTCCCTGAGTTTCCATTTGACGACGAGAAATCCGTACTCAGACGATTCCCACTTCTGTTCCTTCCAAACAACAGTTTCTCTTCAGGCCAAGTCGCTGACATTCTATCGAAAAAGTATCCGTTTGTTGAGCTTGAAATGATCCCGTTCCTTGGACTGTTTAATCGGTCCACTGCCCCTGGCTGGTCTACGGGTGTAGGCGGATGGTTAGCTGTGGAGGCATTGTCAAAATTATTGGTGTTTCCGTTAAACCCGGCTCTGTTTTGAGTTCCCCAGTTTTCTGTTGAAGCCATTCCGGGCCATGAGATGGCTGCAGAGACGTCTTGGCTATGGAAATGCTCGTAAGAGTTTGTGACCGTCACGTTCTTGTTGTTGTTACTTCTGCTTGGCCGAGAAGCAGGGGATTCGTATTTCCATATGTACACATGCGAATCCTCGCTCGCTGAAACTACGTATTTCCCATCTGCTGTGATTGAGGCAGATATCTGGCTGCTCGTATTCCGAAACCCTGTCAAATGAAATGAAAACAGAAAAGATCAATACTTTGGCTAGTGAATGAAGTAAACAGAAGACAAAGCTTGAAACCTCGAAAGGCGATTGTTTGTCTGTTTACCTTTAAGTTTGTTAACTAGATCAGTTCCATCAACAACACGGATCCTTGAATCGGAAGATGTGACAAGCACTTCAGATGAGCTCCCAGGCACAAACTAAGGTATGAAATGAGAATAAAATAAGACCAAAGCAAGGAACTTTTAGAGCCATCAAGAACAACGTCTTTTGTTTCATCTGATTTTGCTTCTGAAGAAGTGATTACCATTACCTGGAAACCAGTTATCTTTTTTTGATGAGCTTTCTTCTTCTTGTTCTGTAAATTTATCAGGCTTTTCTGTTGCAGCTTGTTATCTGAAAAAGTAAATATCAGTTAGTGTTAAAGCATAACAAACAGCAGAAAAAAAAACAATATAAAATCCCAACAAGAACTTCATCATTACCTGATGCACTATACATGCGACAGCTACCTTTGTATGAACCAACCAACGCACCCTTCAAGTTTAAACAGAAATTCTTTAGAAAGTTAAGGAAACTCTTTAAAGATGCTTCATGAGATGCGGAAACAATTGACTTTAAATAACTTGACAGATTTAGTGTACCTGACCATCTGGAGTGTAGCAAGCAGAAGTGACCATCTCATGAAGATCATACCAGTCAACTACTTGACGATCTGGAATGCTCCAGACGCGAACTTTTGCATCTAAGGATCCGCTGATAAAGTATCTATCATCGACCGGATTAAATTGGATGCTAGTCACTGTTCCAATCAATAATCAAAACACACATTGTAAATTTGAAGTACCAAAAGACGGAAAAATTAAAAGCAGCTGGTGCAGAACCTACTGACCGTAATCACTGTGCGAAAATACTTTCAAGCAAGTCTGGCTGGACAAGTTCCACAAACGAACTGTTTTATCCATTGATGAAGAAAGCAAATACTGAGGAAACAAGTAATAGAAAGCTTTTTTACTTATAAATCTTCTCTACCAATCATTTCTTCCAAACAGTACCAAGAAAATAAAGTGACTAACTAACCTGAGACTTGGACCAAGCAAGGTCAAGTACATCATCCACATGTCCCTGAAAGGAACAAAAGGGCTTTTCCGAAAGCCCGAAAAGAGAATCTGGAACAAATATGTTCTCTAAACTCAATGACTTTCTACTTATAGAAGTTCTCCCTCTTCTCCTTGGTGACATAGTAGTTGGTTCTGGAGACCCATTATTAGCCAAAAGCAACAGTTCCGGTCTATCAAGTAGCAACTCTCCCTTCTTCTCAGCCTCGACGACTTGCCAGATATGAACGATGCAATCCTCACCAGCACTAGCAAGATATTTACCATCCAAACTAAACTTAATGCTCCAAATAGAACCATTATGCGCTTGAATCTCCTGCGTCTTGTACAATGCCGTGAGCTCTTTAGATGATTTCCCATACTGTCTAACCCTAACTCTTTCCGGCCCGTGAAAAGAAGATTCCTGAGAATCATCAGTAGCAGAGCTCGACCTCCGACCACCTCTCTCTGACGATGTATCTCTATCATCGCTGCTTCGTCTCTCTTTGCTATGACCAGTCATGCTACTTGCAACACTCTTAATACTCTTAAACCAACTTCCTTTCTTCTTAGACTTCGATGCATTATCCTTATTACTATTCCCACTGTCTTCGTTTTCCTTAGACGTGTTCTTATCAGAATCCTCAACGTTCTGTCTTCTCATAAGCTCCTGAACAATGGGAGAATGTCCAACACACATCTCAAACTCCTCCATCGTCATCTGTGTTCCAGTTCCCACTTCCTTCACCTTCTTCCATGTACCGTCTTCTTGAATCTCATTCACCACAAACTCTTTCCCATTATCAAGATTCTTTATAGTACACACTTCCACTTCCTCATTCACTACACTCTCGCTCAGTACACAGTCAGTATCTCCATTTAACCGCAATGAATTCTCACACGAATCAGCACTAACTGATCCCAAACTGCAATTGACAAATGGTGGGCTGGTTCTACTGATCTCTGAATGTGAAGGATGACGAACAGAGAGTTTAGAGACTGAACAAGAACAAGAATTACCAAGAGACGTATATCGACGTTCACGATCACCACATTGGCTAGTGGTAATGTCGGATTTCGATCTCACGATGCAAGAAGCACAACCGCCGACAGTTTCAAAACACTCTCCATGATCTCGCCGAGCCAATTGATTACACGAGATCGATCGGGAAATGTCGGAGCTGCCGGCTCCGGTTTCTTTGGAGCTGGAATCCGAAACGGGTTTTAACCGGGAGAGAACCGGGTCACGGCTAAGACCCATTTCGTTTAAAAGCTTGGAACGTCTCTCGGAGACAGAAGCAGGTTCAGAGATCCAAACGTCGAACTTCGAGGCTCCCATTGGAAACCGAGGAACTGGGAATGGATATCGGCGGCGGCGACCCCCACCGTTGTGTTCTTCAGAGTCATGAGAAGCGGCGGAGGAGATCCGAGGAGAGGATTCGGAATCGTAATCAGAGTTAGAAGCGGAACAAGAGCAAGAAGAGGAAGAAGCTAAACGATCAAGAGACTCGTAGAAGCAATCGTTGGTGTCTCCTTCCTCTTCTTCCTCGTTGTGGTAGCTCATGGTCGTAGCAATGAAGCCAGCGAAGGCATTCCCATCGGAAAATTCCTTCGCCGGTGAATTTGATCAAACAGAAACAAAAGTCCCCAAAAAAACGCAGACTTTAAATTTTTGTGTGTCTCAAAGTCAAAAGATTGAAACTTTTGGTTGGGGAATTTGTGATTTGGGGGTTTTGTCGTTGAATTGAAGAATTCGAAGAATCAGATTGTGGGTTTTCGGGAAGAAGTCAGATCCGATGAAGAGCAAAGAGAGACAGAGAGAGAGATATGAGTTTGGGGGTTCGTAGAGATGTCTGTGTAGAAGAAATCAATGGAGAGAGAGAGAACTTTTTTTGTTTCTGTTTTTTTTTTTTTTTTTGCTCTGTTTAATTTTGGTTTTCGACCTTTGCACTTTGTAGGCGCTGAAAACCAAAGTTTTTCATCCAGAAATTAGATCTTTAAAGATATAAAATATTCATTTTAAATTCCGACAAAAGAGAAGGTATCAATTATATTATATGGTTTTAATTTGATTTTGATAAAAGTATATGATATGTAAAATAGGACAATCAATAATGTAATTGCCATATGCTTTGATTAGAGACTTAGAGTCCATTAATAAAGAAGGGCGTGTATAGCATTATGCAAGTTGATTTAGTTCCTTGCTATAATAAATTTATTCACCAAAAAATAGTGTATATCTATTTACATATATTACGGGAAATTTTATACAAAATCTTTTTTATATATATAAAATACCGACACAATTTGGTGATTTTCCATTTCAGATATTTATTTACTATTTTTATATAAATAAATAGTCTATAACAGATCAATACAATTAATTAAATCACAAACTAATTAGAGTTATAATTCATAAAACAAATTTTAAAGTCAAAAGCAATGTATTATGAAAAGTTATTATTTAAAATCTAGTTGAGTTAGTAAGTTACTTATATATTTATGAAATTAAAATTAGCCACGATTTAAAGGTACATACATATAACAACAGCATTAATACTGTTACTAATGTTACTTTGTAGTTTCTCTAACATTAAACAAATCGGTGTAGAAACAAAAAACATTAGAAAGCTGAGCTCTAACCAAATGTGAGTACTATATATCAAAAACTAAACCATCGATTTAACTCCAACATATCAAATCAAATCACATAAAGGTTTACAGAAGATGATGATTAATAAAAAATATATACATCTTTCGTTTCAAAAGGCCCACAACACCCAAAAAAATTGGAAATAAGAACCATAAGTAACGCTCAAATCTCAATCTTAGTGATTATACGAGGTTTATTTGGTTTCAAAAAATAATAAAACTTTTGTGGAAAAAAAAAAAAAAAGTGGAAACAAGATAGAGGGAGGAGAAATGGGCCTTACAGGCCCACAAAGAGTAAATGCAGAGAAGAGGACAGCTAATCAAGTAACACATGCCTCTCTTCCCCTTCCCTACTCTATTTTTTCCCGTCCCACCGTTACATTACAAATTTACAACACCGTTTCTTCTCTCTCTCTCCGGGACCATTCTTTTTACCGATTATGATTAGTATGCTAATTAAGAGCATTATTAGAACACTTGGCAAACGTTAAACAAAACCAAACATTTGACAACTAATGATATACCGACCACTAGTATAAACATGTTTAATACACAAAGACATTAATATATCAAATCACAAGACTCTTATGGATTTAAGCTTTTGATTTGTTTATAAGACATTTCTTGGAAGATCTATATCAATGGCTGGCTTTGTTTAGTTTGTTTTGGGCTAGTTATATGAATATTAAATAAAAACATATATCACAACCATACATCTTTAACGTTTGTAGCCACAATATTCTGTCTAATGGTTTTACTTGTATCTTGTTCCATATATAAACGTCGATTGGTTTAGACGAAAGATAATTCATGAGGGCCGGTTTAGGTTATGTGGCTTAGCATGGAGATGGTTGTTGAGTTCGAGAGAGAGCTTGACATGAATGTAAATACAGTGATTTGATTCCTTGTGTCGTTTAATTCTTTTTCTGTACGTACTCTTAATTATGTTCTTGAACTCAGTTTGATGCAATTCGAATTCATGAGCGACATGTGAGGTCGCATGCTTAATTAAATCATCAACATCAAATGATTTGTTTTTGTCAACAAACAAACACAAAATGATTTCATGAGATCACATTAGTAATATTTTGAAAATTTGATGTGAAACATGTGAATCTTTTTATGTGATTTTCACAAGTTTATTTATGTTAATTCATGCGAATATACCCAAGATTGCATTATGAAGTTTTGTTTGGTAGTAGACTCTAGAATATCTAAAACGAAAGCAAGCAAGGAAAAAAATAAAAAAATAAAGAGTGAAACTGTGGTGACAATAAATTAAAAAGCAGGATCTTCTATTTCCATATAAAAGTCTCTGAGCTCTCTTTGCACCATTATGTTTTTTCTTTCCCTTTTTGCTGTGTTTGCATTTTCTCTTGGTTTAACGCATACATTTACAACAATGTTTCACGTTATTTAGTAACCACACCTTCAATAAATCAAATTAAATAAAATGGACAAAGTGGATATAGGTATGTCAGAAAGAATTGGAAGCTTTAAAGAGTGACATAACATTGCGAAGTTAAATGTATGAGTCTCGATGGTGTTGGGTTGGTTCTGATGGAGTACGACATTGATCGCAACATGTACATGACCTGAGTGAAAGCAGAGTAAATGTTTTGTTTATTCTAATGAACTGCTCTGCAATTTTGTGCAAAGATAAAACCAATAGAGATGATAATATACGAACATGTAATCTATCGTCCAAATTAAAAGTCATATATACTGAATGTTATTGACAAAATAATACTACTAAAATTTTACTACATGCAGTATGATTAGCCTACAAAATATGTTTTCAAGGCCCCTTTAGCTAAATCAAGGCTATATAATCCTTTGTATAGGCATACATAATTATTGGTGTAAACTTTTTTGGATTTTGGAGTATCGAATGTAGATATTTAAGCCAAATAATACTATGACTCTTTTTTTTTTTTTTAAATTAACTATGAATTAATAATTCATCCCAGCATCCATTAAAATCTAGTTTATTGCATACTTCAAATCAATCACAAGCACCGTTCTCTGTCACACAACACATATAATGGAAACCTTATCATCTATCTAAAATAGATATATTGTTTTATCAAAAAATAAATATATAAATTAGCAATGAATATTCATTTGAATTTACTAATCTTTTTCCATTGCTCATAGGAGAAAAGTTATATGAACCCCTCCAAAAAAACGAGTCCCAGGCTAGTATGCCACTTAATGGAGAAAATGAATCCAGCATGCCATTTTGTAATCTGAATGCCACTGTAAATGTGATATTCCCAAATTACCCTTAATAAAATATCAGACGATTGGTACAACTAAGAGATGATAGTACAACTAAGAGATAATAGTACAACTGGTACAGATAGTATAACTGAGAGATAATAGGAGAACTGGTACAAATGGTACAAATGAAAGATAATAGTATAATTGGTACAAATGGTATAACTATAAATCGGTACAACTGGTACAAATAGTTATGGACAACTGGTACAAATGGTTCTACTGAAACAAAGCAATTTGTAATTCTAAACCCTAATTCTAAACTCTAGCGCCGTCACACTCAATAATTTGTCTCTTCTTGCTTTGTTCACTATCGTTGTCGCCGATTATCACCATCACCCTTCCTCGTCGAAGTTTGTGGACCGTCTTCTCTCACCAAACGATTGTGCACTACAAATGACGAAAGCACGAAGAGAAATCCATGGAGAAGAAGCTTGAAGAGAGATCCATGATTTTTAAATCTCAGAAATCCATGGAGAAGAAGCATGAAGAGAGATCTGATCTATAAAGAAGTGCGAAGAGAGATCCATGAAGAAGAAAAGATCTAGAGTTTTATTGATGATGATAATGGAGAAAAAGAGAATGAAAGATCTAAAAAACCTAGAAAAAGTAAAAAAGAAGGAGAAGAAAAATAAGAGGAGGCGTGAAAGAAGAAGAAGAAGAAGAGTAGTTATGTTATTGGATTGATAAAAGTAAGGGTAAGTATACGTAATAATTAGATTAGGGTAAGGGTTTTTTGTCTTTTCATATTTATTTGATTTAAATTAATTTTTTCACGAAATTAAAATTAGATAAGTGGCATTCTAGGTTTTATTTTCTCACATAGTGGCTTTCTAGCCATTGTTTCCAAAAAAACAAAGCACCAAGAAAAGCGGATGTGAAAAGGGTAGAAAAAGAGTATTCAAGAAATTTATTAGTTTATAATTTGGAGTTAAAAGTGAAAATATCGTCGGGACAAAAGCTGAAAAACGGTCTGCGTTTATGTCATATTTTTGTTTTTAAAAAGCAGAATTATATATTATTATAAAGAATGAAAAAAGAAAAAAAAAAAAAAGAGAGAAATGGAAATGCGTAAAAAGAGTATGATAGGGTGTCGCCGTCGGCCGTTGTCAGTGTCTTCAGATCGGCCACGTCCCTCTCCTCTCCCCATTCTTCTCTCTTTTGTCTTTTCTTCTATTTTTATCTTTCATAAAATACATTTTAATATTTATGGTGATTACCATTTCAACTAACAAATTGTCAAATTATCAAAAACCTTATCAGAATAATCCTTGTAACTTTTACTTTTTATGCGATAAAACTATCTTTTCTTATAATGGTATTTTAGTGCAATATATATGACATTTCGATAAATATGATGAAAATGATAATTGGAATATTTTGTAAGTATTTTTTATTAAGATCATTTGACAAAAAGAATAGTAATTACCCTAGTGGATTATCTATATAGAGTTCTCTCTTAGGACTATGACATGAGAATGTCACGTTAGCTTTGTTTCATGAATTTTAAAAAATTTAAACGAATTATAAAATAAATAAATGAGAATCAACTAGCTTTCGCAGACTAGTTTTTTTTTTTTTCGTAGCCTAACGGGTTCAACTATTCGCGTAACAAAATTTTGAAAAAATAAAGATGGAGGAAATAGGTCTTTTATCAAAGAAAAACAACACATAGGTGCATCTTCTACAAGAAAAGGAAAAGACGAGCAAAAGTCAAATATCATATCTATTGTAAATAGGTGTTTAATTTTATTTTAGAATAAATGACATTACAACTTTAAAGATACACAAAACCGTTAGAAATTAAATGGTCTGAATCATTCTCACCCACCAACCCTAGTTAGGGCTCGTTGGCATAACTTTATTCATTCGTTAAATTTTATTTTTATTAACATTAATAAGTTGACATGTGTGATAAACTATAAAAAGTAACCATATTTGAAGTGATAATATGTTTAGAATTTAGATTGGTTTTGGG